AACAATGATAAGATTGCTGTTCTAGGACACCCTACACAGAGCAGAGGTTGAGGGGTGACCACACAGGGACAAAGGATCCCTCACTGCTGGGGAGCACAGCACAACCTGGGGCTCTCCCTGCTTTTCATGGGGCAGGTTCAGCTGAGGGAAGCTGAACCAGGGCTGTGGTTTCTCCATGCTCATATTCACAACAAAACCACTCTGGATTCACTTGGCTTTTTCTGATTTCCTAAGAGTGAGTGCAAGTGGGGCAGATGAGCCCCCGGGCTGAGCCTCTGTCAGGCAGCCAGAGTATCAGGGGAGGAGTTTATTATTAGATCATTTTTTAGGGGGGACACAAAGCAGCTGGAACCTTCCCACTGGATTAGATAACATAAAAAAATCTCTAATAACCCCCAGAAAACCATTGCCCTTTGCTGCTGACAATAGAACCTGTGCAGAGCTGGCAAGGAAACAGCACCCGGAAAAGGAATTGCAGCAACCCCTGGCATGAAGGTGCTGGGATTATATCCAGCTAAAATGAGTCACCTCGTGCTGCTGCAGTGCTGTGCTCTGAGGAAACTCTCTTTGATAGAATCTTTCTTTAAAAGTCAGATCTTTCCTCTGGGAAAAGGCAAGTCTTGACTTAGGCTGACCTACCTTGTTTTTGGCTAGAAAAAGATCTTTTTCCTTGGCTGCCCCGTGACTTTCACTCACAACCTCCTGAGAATATTTTTAGAAATCATTATTTAAGTCATCCCAATCAGGCATCATGAATCCTGGTTCCAAAAACCGGTTTTATTGCCCTAAGCTGATAAAATTCCTATCCTTTCATTCAGATACATCTTCCTGGCTGTAACAAACGATGCTGAGGGCTCCACAGGCCCCGGGGAGGTGCTCAAATCTCGCCCGTGTTCTTGCACTATCATCTGACAGCAATTTATGGTACTGCAGGGTTTGCCTTATTGAAACCATTTGTGGGATGGAAATTTGCAGAGATTCTTTCACAGGGGGTGACTCTTTGCTCAGTGGTGATGTTTGGAGAAATCTCACTCACAATCCTTGAAGGCAGCAGGAATTTGGTGTGAGGAACTTCACCACAAATCTTGAAGCAGAGAAATCTTGACTTAGTAATGCTCTGCAGATTCCTTGGACAAACACATGTTAAAGAATTATTTTAGCTGCTGGCCTGCTGAATGCCCAAGATTTCACATAAGCTGGACCCAAATACAGCTAAGATATTGCAATAATTCAATTATGCCTCATACCATCATCACTTATTGCTCTGTGCAGAGGACAGACACTCCCTATGGATGTACCATTACCAGAGGGAACTGCTCCACTTGGAGTAAACTATTTTAGCCCTACTGCTTTGTGTGGAAAAGATGTAGTTTAAGAGAAAATTGCAATTTTTTTCTTCCTTTTGATAATTGTTTTTAAATCACAATACATCATCAAATACCTGGCATTTGAATTACACTACTCAGAAACCTGCTTACGAGTAAATTTTAAATTTCTAATTATTGCCATTGGCTGTGTTTGTAAGGACCTGTGTCTGATGCCTAAAATTTCTCCACAAGCTGCCCAAAATGCTTTACACTAATGGCTGGAGCCATGAACCTGCCAATGTTAAACAAGAAATTCTTCAAAAAGTCAAGGCTGTTTCTCTTCTTTTTGTCTAAATGGGCCATCCAAAAGTGAACTTGGTAAGGCAGGAATTGCTCTGTAGTGGACAAAAAATGCCTCCATAAGTGAGGTCTCTCATGTTTTAGGTTTCACTGAACCCCAAATGGAAGGATAAAGTGGATAAGAATGGCAAAAATGATGTCCTGGAATTGTCCTGTGACAACACAGCGCAGCCAGGGACTGCCAAGAAGATGCATATGCAGAAAAGGGGAGAAAAATATTTTTTCCAGCATTGCCAGGGGAGTTTTTCTTAACCTTGCAAAAAAATATACAATGCCTTGCCTAGCTTCCAACAGAGACTGGAGGTAGAAGCATGTGAGGAATGGAGATGGGTGTCAGGAAGAATTCATGAAAGAGGTGTATGCAGGATGAGTTAAATTCCATAAGTGTTATAACATCCACTTTCATTTTGATGTGAAGACCGTGACCAGCTGTTGAATTTTGATCCTGCAGGATTCTCACTTCTTCCATATACAATCCATGGATTTCAAGGCACAGACCCTGTTTTTTTCCCAGATAAATGTCACAACTGTGTATCTGCAAAAATAAAGGCCAGTAAATAGTGTCTGAAGTAGCTATTAATCTTTGGAATTAGTTGCTCCAAGTCCAGATTGCAAGTATATGAAACAACAAAAAATGGAATTAATTTAGGGAGATTTATCGTGAGCAGTTGTTTCACGGTGGTTTGGGTTTCAGCGAGAGCACAGATCAGTGAAATATCAGCACAAAGACATAAATTAAGTAGGAATACTCCAAGGAAAAATCTTGTTTATTCTGTGCAAGCAGCTCTGTCATTTGTCACCTCAGAGCACAGGAGTCAGGGCACGAGTGGGAGCTCCTGGATGTGCCTGAGAGGTGCAGATATTAATACTGAAACAAACCGGGGAGCTGTGTTTGTGAAAGGGATTGGAGGATCCTGCAGTGTCAGACAAAGCCCTCTGAGCAGTAAAAGACCAAGTCAGAGGTGGAACAGGTCGCAGTGTTATGGCAGTGATTCATTCCTCTCTGGATGGACTGAAGCTGTCTGAGTGTGCCTTTCACTAATTGCAGCACAGCTGCCGATTTCAGATGGTGCTTGGATGAGATCTGGGTGGAGGCGACAGTGACCTGCAGGTGCTGAGCTCTGCCAGCATTCAAAGGTGACACTTCTGTCCTTAGGGAGTCACTTTTCCATGGGCTGACCTGTGAGCTGCCCACAGTTACCATTAAATGAAGAGAGAAGCCTGAGGAAAATTACCTCCTTGAAGGAAAACTGGGCTAAATTCTGTTTTCAATGCGTGACTGCAGCTCTGGGGGAGAGGGGAGCTGTGAAATGGGGCAGAGCAGGTGACAGGGACCTGGATCTGTGCTCCCTGCAGGGACAGCCTTCTCAGCAGCCAGGTGCAGGGTGAAGCCTCTGTAGCACAAAATGCTCTCTAGCCCAAGTGCTCTCCCCCTGTCCCCTCCTGTGCCTGAAACAGCCGTGACATGGGGCCACCTCAAACCCTGTCAGCCCCCAAAACCCCGCTCGCACCTATGGGAATGACTGTATGGATCAAGCAGGGACAGGTTTATAAAAAACACAGCAATGCAGGGTCATTGCATCCCCACAGGGATCCCCTCTCAGGCTCCTGCCCCCAGAGCTCCTTTGGGAATCCCCAGACCGTGCAGAGGCGAGGCACTTGCGCTGTCCCACTGGGATCCCCCACCCTGTACCTCTGCAGCTGTGAGGGAAGTGACCATCTCCACTTTAACTCTTCATTCCCTTTCTCTCCATAAGAGTAACCCCTGCTTCTACTTCCCAGCAAAATTCCCTGGCATGAATTGAGCAGATTTTGTTACTAAGAACCTTTTTATAGCAGTAAAGATATAGAGAGGACAGCCCAAAGCACAGTTACTGCTGGAAAACCTTTAGGAACCTTAATTTAAAATAAATCAAAAATATTCCCTTAAATACTGAGCTTTTTAAGGCACATCTTGCTCTTTTTTCAGGTTTCCATCATCATATTCTGGCAAGCTTCAAGATTAAATCCTTTGGCTTCGACCTGCGTGCAGCTAGTGACACTTGGGCGTGGATCAAAGTGAATTTCCACCACTTTCAGGTATAAGGAATAATTGGGAGATTTTTTTTTTGTGTGTCCACAGGGTATAACACTCCTCTGCAGACCCATTTTAGATAAAAATTAAATCCAGTGCATCTAGCAAGGCTCCTCTGCTCAGCAGGGCTGCAGCCGGGGTGAAGTGAAGGCAAACAGGGTTTAGTGTCTGTATCTCAACAAGTTTTGTGGTTCTGTTCCTTCCTTCATTCAGGTGGAGGCTCTACAAGCTGCTGGAGGAGAAATTCAGGGGGAATGAGAAAATAAACAGCCCCCGAGCCCTGAGCAGCCCTCCCGATGTCTGTAAGAGTATATAAATGCAGATATACGTATTTATACACATGGATGTAACAGCTGCCTCGCTCTTCTAGCTCTCCTTCTGCACCTGCCTCTGTCTCCATCCCAGGCAGGATGCTGGGCTGCTTTCAGCCTGACTTCACGAGTCCTTTCCCATCCTCCAGGCACTGGATGTCCATGGAAATGTCCAAATCCCCACGTCCACTCCTTCCGTCCCTCCCATTGTCAGGCCCAGCCTGACTCATGTCCCCTTCCTTGCTTTCTCTGTGCTGGTGTAATTTCCAAACCACCTTCCTTCCCTATTCCACACCCCAATTTATATTTTCCCAGCGGTCACGTCTTTCCCCTCCTTCAAAACCGCTTTCAGAAAACCAGCGTCACCTCGGTTTAATGAGAGCCCCTGGATGTTTATCATGTCGTTAAATCATTTCCTTCAAGTGGCCTCAGATGAAGTTATCACTGTCAAAACGTGATGCAAACGCTCAGTAGGAAGCACACAAAGGGAGATCCCAGGCTCTTGGGAAGTTTGGGTGAACTGTTTGCAAAACTGTGCCGAGCCCACCCCTCCGAGACCTTTATTTCCCCCTGCGGCAGCTGTCATCTGATCCCACGCTTTGGCTCTGAATGGGGCTCTTGGAGGATGCCAGATGTTGGGAACAAAGGTCTAAAAATAATCTTTCCAAGTAATCTTCCCGTCCATCACTCAAGGAGAGCGTGAGCTTTGTGTGAACATGTGAGCCGAGAACCTGATCTAACTTAAAGAAGTTCAACAGCAGCCCCCGGCTTCTGCCTGTGGGCTCCTTTTCTTTTTTTTTTTCTTTTTTTTTCCTTCTTTCTTTTTTTTTTTCTTTCCCTTCCCTTCCCCTTTTCCCTTCCCAGAAGCTGCGCAGGGAAAAGCGGCTCTCGGAGCGCTCAGCCCTCGTCTCTCCCTCCCTCCCTCCACGTCTCCCTCCCTCCTTGCCAAGCCTCGGAACCGCCCGAATCCCGAGAGCCGGGCTCTTTATTCCATCTCTCCCTGGGAAAAAAACACCGGGTTCCAGGCTGCTGCCAGAGATGCGTTTCTGTAGGAAGATCTTGGCTGCAGCCTTGTGTGTCCTGGTTCTGCTGCCGGAGCCGGGCAGTGCCAGGACTCTCTGGAAACGCGCTCTGCTGAAAATGACGGAGAAATACGATGTGAGTAAGGCTGGGGGGATTTTTGAGGCGAGCTGGGGATGCTCGCAGGGAAAGGGGAGTTTTCCTTACGCGTTTTGGGATCAGGAGTGTTTGGATCGGCGGGCTGGCTCTGTGGAGCAGGGATTCCTGAAGTTTTCCCAGGCTGCATGGAACTTTTGCCACCTAGCTGCTGCAGGGGGAAGCTTGGGAAGCGCTCGGAGCAGGGAGAGAGCTTTGGGATGGCACCGCTTTCCCTGGAAACTCCCCAGGGCAGCCAGGGAAAAGTGACCGGGGGGATGGGGGATGCAAACCCCGCGTGTCCGGGGATGGGTTTAGTGGAAGATAATGGGATTTATTGCTTGGAGCAGGGAGGGTTCCCTGCCCAGCCCCTGTGCTGCCTTTTGGGGTAACTTTGGGGAAATGGTGGCATTGCCCACGGGTTCTGTAAGGCACAGAGCCCTCACCCCACAGTGCCAGAGCTGCGTGCCCATCACCCTGCAGGGTGGCGATCCCAGAGATCCATCCCCATGGCTGTGCCGTGCCTGGCACATTCCCTGCGGGCAGAGCTGCTGCCCACGCTCGGTGGCACCATCTGTGCCTGCTCTTGGCAGCCTTCAGGCTCCACAGGGCACTGAGCATAACTCCCAAATCCACATGGATCACCAGTGCTGGAACTGGAACTGGCACAGCCACGAGTTACTGGGAGCCATGGGGATGGTGCCAGGTCTTGCCCTGGGCCAAACGGCTGCTAGAGATGGCCACAGAGGAAATGGAAATTGGAAAAAGAAGGAAAATAATTTGATAGCTTGAATTTTAGGACCTGCTGTTTAAAAAAGAAAAAAAAAAGGCTATAAATTTGAAATTTTTACTTGATCCATTCAAGTTCCCTTAGAAACCAGCACTGAGCCAAGGTTTCTGCCCCTTGAGTTGCTTGGGTGCAAGCCCCAAATAAGTCTGATTGCATCTTCCAACCATTGCATGTGTGTAAACAGCACCTTGGTATCACAGGCTTATTCCTCCATCTGTTTTCTGCAGCTTTTAATTCAAAAAGGATGTTCTTATGCCCATGACTTTTCAAGTGATGTTTGTGCATGGCAACGTTTGGTTTGTGCAATTGCTGACTCAGAATTGTGACACACATCCCTTGCCCCTGATGAGCAAACTGAAATTCTGTCTTGTCTCCTTGAAATTTTGCAGAAAAACATTGTTCTGGTATTTGAAAGGCACCTCAAGATTTTGTAAGAAATCTTCATTATAGTTTTTCTTGGGATAGGGTATCTGGTTTGCATTTGAACTGGAAAATGGTGATATAAAGAGCTGCATTTCTTGCAAAAACACTCACTGGAAAGTGCATTTATATGGATGTTCTTCTGCCATATTTCAATGTGAAGCTCAAATTTAATAAGATCTGTGAGGTGAATGACCCAGGGAGATCGGACAGAAGCAGAACAGGAATTTACATGTTGATCTTCAGATAAGGAGCCCTGCCGAGGCAGAGCCGGCTCCCCTGAGGATATAGCCTCTTCTTTCAACCTGCACTTCTTCAAAGGGCTGTTTTTCCTGGCAGCCCTGAATCCAGGTGCTACTGATCTGGCAAGCTCAGCTAGAATTGTTCATATTGACAGAAACATTGATCCAGGGAAAACAGAAAATGCTTTTCTTCTCCTCAAAAGCTTGTCAGGGGGAAAGCGTCTGCTCTCCATCCTCTTCTGCACCAGAGTCCGTTCTGGCAGCCCCTCTGGTTTCTCAGAGGATGTTTTCTTTCCTACCAAATGCTGTGTGTTCCCTGCAGTTGGAAAACCAGAGTCTGGGGGCAGAGCAGCTGATTTGTGAGTCACTTGGATAGAGGGATGACAGATGGAGGTGCTTATGGACACGTGCAGCCACATGGGGCATGGGCCACAGACATCCCTGTGGGACCCCAAAGGACATGGGGGAGGGAGCTTTGTGTGGTCTGAGTCCAGAAAATCTGAGGCTACAGCAGGAGGAGTGTGTCCAGAAAAATGTTGGATGCAGAATGACGGGCAGGTGTGAGGATGAGGAGCTGGCTTGGGGTCTCATTCACCCTGAGGAAGGGTGTTGGTTGGCAAGGAGGGGTCAAGTGTGAATGGAGAAGGGAGAAACAGGGATTGCAGTGAGGAGAAAAACCTGGCAGTCACAATAGGATGCAGGAGCTGGGCTTTTAAAAAATCCATATATTTTACAGAGGGACACTTGTCAAGTTTAGTGATTTGCAGCTGATGTTCTGCAGCCCCTGCACTCCACGGACTGTTCCCAAGGGGCAGAGGGAGGGAGCTACCTGGGAGTGGGCTTCAGTTCATTATAAAACACCCATCGTGTCTGTTGGAAAAAACTGGGCCAGTCTGGATTTCATTCCACTGTCAACTACAGCAAGTGTTTTAGAAAAATCCCAGCCTCCTTTTAAAGTTTTCCAAAAATGAAGAATTCCTCACAGCTGCTGTAATACTCTTCCAACAGTTTATTTACCCTCCAGCAGCCATCTGTCATAAATCAGCCCTGGGGGACCCTCTTTGTGCCCCAGGAGATTTCTGGCCCCCAAATTCTCAGAGTAACCTGTGAGCAGAGCAGCCTCAGCCTCTCCTTTGGAACCTGCACACAGACAAACATTTTTCTGTATTTCCTGCTTTCCAGCCTTTTAATCATTATTGTGCATCTTCTTGGAGCCCACCCCAGCTCTGCAGCATTCTTCCAGCTGCAAACAGCAGAACCAAAGAGACAAATCCCGAGCCAGCAACAGGAGAATATTATTCCCATTGCTTTGGTCTTCTCCTTCAGATTGTTTAAGCTGCGCTCAGTCTGTTTGCCACTTTGATCATCACTGAAGGGTGATTTTCCAGCTCTTTAATGGAAATACTGGAGGATTCAAAATTCCCCCTGAGTGTGTATTTTTTCAGAGGGAAGGTGTTTTATGACCACTCTTTGGGAATACCTGCCAGGGCCTGAGCTGCTGGTGGGAGGTTGAAATAAACCTCATGTGTCATCTCGAGGGCTCCATGCAGAATATGAATTAGCAGAGAGCTGTGCTTTGACACAAGCTCAGGGACCAGTTCCAGGCACAAATAACAGAATAGATGTGGGAATTTTGGGAGACAGCTGCATCCCCCAGTTACTGTTGAAATTATGGCTGAGACTGAGTGATCCCATCCAGATTTTTCCTCATTTTTGTTGATTTCCATGGTTCCTCACCTGAACTCTGTAGTTTATCCCTTTACTTTGTTTCTGGCTATCTCTAAGGCAGATATTGTCATTAAATGATTTAATGAGTCTCCCTGGGCAACAGAAATTTACCTCCTGCACTGAAAAATGTTAAAGAATTTTTTACTGTCGCCACAATCCGCAAAGATAATAAATCAGAACCAAACTGTGAATGTTGAGAGAGCTTTTAAAAACCCTTGTAACCTAAACCTGGATATGTCCTTAACCAGGTTATTTTGGAAAACGAGGGAATCTTGTTTTATGCACACATAAACAAGGGGGTTTCATTAAACCAAATATGCAAAATGTTATTATTTTGAAAAAAATGAGTTGTGAGCAATAGGTGACCAGAAAAAATGGGCAGGGAGGTCATGAGGTACAAAGTTATTTGGCTACAACTGTTATATTGTTCCCCAACGGAAATTTCATTCATGGAGACAGCTGTTCATTGCAACTTTGGCTTCTTGGTTTCTGAATCATCTGTGAAGCAACTGCAGTAATTGTTTGGTGGTTTTTTCATGGATCCATTATTTGCCACTATTATTTTGGTCACACTTCAGTCTGCAGATGACCTTTTGAATAGAACAGTAAACTGTGACCTTCCAGGATGAACACTCCCTCCAACAAGGAGACCTGTTCAGTGTTTGGAGCTGCACAGATTTATTGTTCAGTGCTCCCTTATATCCAAAAATGATACTTGGGCTGATAATTTTCTCTATTTAAAATCCAGCAACATCCACCCCTCCCCCCTCAAAAAAAAAAGGTGTATTTTCAATATCTTCCATTTTAAAACATGTTTCAAATTTGGAGTGTTTGCAGCTTTTGAGGAATGGACTATCAATGAGAACTTGCACCTTCAGCATGGAAAATATCATCAAAATTGGGTTTTTCCAAATCTTTTTAGTGGTTTAAACTACCTATCAGTTTACAGGAAAACAATGTCATGAAAGGGTTTTAAAGGAAAAAGTAGAAATTATTTCTTGACATTGGAACAGGGCAGGAGACTGTCATTAGTGAAAATATTAGGAATTCTGTCTCTCTAACACTCCATCTCTGTGCAATGGCCTCTCCTTGGCCAGTTTTTGGGAGAATCCATGTGGGAACAGGCTGTTGCAAAGGCACAGATGCTCCAAAGGAGCCATTGGGGGTTACAGCAATAAAGATGGAGCAGGATATAGAGAGGGATGTTAATCTCACCTCAAATTTCTCCAGAGTCTGGTGGTGAAATTTCCTAGAAACCCCTGGGGGGCAGTTGCACCACGTTTATTCTTGGAATAACAACCCCAGTTTCTCACCACTGATTTTGTAACACACCAGTGACTGGGCCAAGTGTATATTTACACACATTTTTCTGTATTTATGACCCTTACTAGCCTGCTCGTCAGGCCATGGCAGCACCCACTTCACGTTTCTGGCTTGATGCTGATCTCTCTTAAAAGTGCAAACCCAGAAACCACCTTTTGATTTCGTTAGAACTTATAAATAGTTGTTAATAAATCTGAGACTTGAGTGCCCTGAGCACGTTCTGCTGCCCTGGGGAGCTGAGCTGCAGCCTAGAGGTGAGTGGTTGAGCCACAGGTGAGAAAGGAGTGGGCTGGGGTGATTCACTTCTCTGCTGGAGGGATTTGGCTTCTTGCTAAAACAGCACCAGTGTGAAAAATATCTGAATGGTGCCTCATAAATGTTCCTGTGCCTGTTAATCCACTTTACCCCTCTCTTGTCCTGTCAGTGTGCAATGAGCAGCTCAGCTTCTTTCTGCTGCAGTGAAACGTGGCCTCATTTTCTTGGGGCTGAAGCTGGCTCTCACAGATCTCACCCAGAATGTCCCATGATTTAGAAATGGTGTCTAATTTAACAACCCAGAGCTCTGTGGATAAACTGGAAAGGCTCTTCCACTGCTTCCCCATCAAAGTGTTTTTGTGTCATCATCATGAGGATGCCTGGAGTCTTCTCTCTGTTTTCCAGACAAGCATAAAAGACTTTAAAGGATTTTTTTTTTTTTTTCTCAATTATAAAACAAGTTCCACACAGTAATTTACTGATTGATTGGTGTTTCCAAAGTGATGCCTTGAGAGGCTACCTGAAACAGAGGCTAAACAGCATTAAAGGAATAAAGTAGGTATTTATTAAAAGGCCTTCAAGGTATCAAAAGTTACACCTTGGGCCGTACAAGAGCCTGGCCATGGCTCTGCCCAAGATGGACGACAGGTCACGAATTTCCACACTTTTATAAGTTTTTGTCCATTTCCACATTTGGGTTAATTGTCCAATTACAGCTTCAGGTGATGCAGTCCCATCCTCCCACACTGCTCTCCTCAATTCGCTGTTGTTTGCACTTTTTGGGCCTGAAGCTGCAACCATGTCCTTGGTTCTGGGGCTGGAAAAGGACTGTTGTGTCTGCCTGAACTGAAAGGAGAACTTGCTAACTTTATATGGAGTTCAGAGTTATACGCTAATGCAGTACAAAATCTGGAAAATATAAAAGCTAAAACTTAAGGCATCAAAAGCGCTTCACTGAGGGGACCATACAGTGCTGGGGGAGCTGGACGGTTAATCCTCCTCTCTGGCAAATACTCAAAAACCTCTTTGAAACCCCTTTTCCCGCTTCATATGGCGGGATGTTCCGTACTCACGCCAAACCTGATTTCCTTTTCTTCTCTTTGCAAAGGATTATGAGTACCCTCTTCATTCTCACAGTTCCCACTACCAGAAGAACGACCGGTGCCCGCCGCCGCCGCAGAGCCTCCCTGAGCACGCCTGCGAGGTGCCCAGCTGCCGCTCCGACTCCGAGTGCGAGCGCCACAAGCGCTGCTGCTACAACGGCTGCATCTACGCCTGCCTCGAGTCCGTGCAGCCCCCGCCAGGTACAGGGACCCCTGGGCAAAGCGGGACAGAGAGGGGCTTGCAGAGATGGGGGTGGTGGTGGTGATCCCCACGCCCGTTGGGTGTGGGGTGTGAGGCTGCAGTGCGAGTTGGGGGTGGAGTTTGGTTCCACGCTTTTGGTTTCTGGGGTTGAAGAGTGACAAAGGTGTCCAAGGCAAACTCCCACTTGGTCAAATTGTAGAAGTCACTCGAGGCCAGTTCTTTTCCTGGGATGGCATTTTCCATGCCCCATCCCTGCAATCACTGTGTCCAGAGGTTGGATGAGTCTTGGAGCAGCGTGGGATAGTGGAAGGTATCCTGCCCATGGCAGGGCATTGGAATGAGATGATCTTTCCAACCCAAACTAATCTGTGTTCCTGTGTTTCTATATCCAGGAAAAGAGACAATCCCAGCCTGAACTAGTGCTGGCAGAAGTGAGGCAGCCACCTCACCATTCCCTGCCATGGGAATGAGAATGGGAAGCAGCAGCTGCTTGGGCCTCTAGGACACGAGATTCTTGTGGCCCCTGGGTAACATCCATGTCTCCTTTCCCACCAGGACAACACGAGCTGAATATAAGTCAAAATCAGATCAATCCATCAGGCAGCACCCTCACAGGCCCTTAGAGGAAATCCATGACTTCATAACTCTGTGCCCCGTGGTTGCTATGTCTTGACACTACAGTCTCTTGTTTCTGTCTTCTGCAGTCTTGGACTGGCTGGTTCAGCCCAAACCCCGCTGGCTGGGAGGCAATGGGTGGCTTTTGGATGGCCCAGAGGAAGTCTTACAAGGTACAGGACATTTCTCTGTCTTCTCTGTAATATCCTTAATCACACAAAGGTCCTGGAGAATAAATCCCTCATATAGAGCTTGCCTGGGATGTTGGGCTGCTGGTATTTGTCTGGAGTTTCCACAGGAATAACTCTGTGTGGTGCTGGGGGCTGCTATCTGGTGCAGTAAATAAATTACTTTTTATGGATATGGATTATCCAGCAGAGCAGTAGGAATGCTGCAGGGGACTGGGTTTGTACCCATTCTTCAAATAATTAGAGATATATCTTCCTCTTAGAAAAAGGCTTTGTCATCATACACATAATTTTTTGCCAGCTTCCTGATAGACCGTGGGTGGACTTGGAACAGGAATTCTTTAATCCAGAGTGGCTTCATCACCCAGATGCCTTGGGCTAGGGCTGTGGCCCTTGGATCTGAAGGTGCTTTGGACAGGAGCCCTGGCAAACTGCTGCAGAGCTGTGTCAAGCTGATGTGAACCTGGGGCATCTGAGTTTGGAGACTGATAATGAGGTTGAGCTTCTCAGGTTCATTCCATAGGGAAAGGGTTTTTAGTTAATTTTTTCCAGTACCTAAAATTGAAATAAGGAGGGAGTGGGGAGGTGGGAAGAGAAGTTTTCTTCTATGAGGCATTCCCAGATGCCACCTGAAGATTTTGAGTTTTTCATGGAAATGTTAACCCATCTTTTGACCAGCTTTTATCTGGATCAGTCAGATCCAGATAGTGCCAATAAATTCCCCTCTTTGTTCTTACACAGATGGTTGTAGACTCGCTGAGCCTCAACTCTCATCTATTATAGAAACTCCAAGTTCTTGAAGAGAAAATTCTGCCTCCAGCTCATTGAAGCTGCACAGCTAGAAATAAGATAAAATAGGTTCCTCTTCATCCATCCTTGTCATGCTTATATTATTTGTTCTTATCTGAACACCTTCGTCTCAGCTTGAGGGAGTAATTAGGGAAGTAAGAACCATCAGTCATGGCATGAGAATTACAGCAGAGGTCCTTGAAATTAAAAATGAGAGGGGTGGAGTGGCCCTGCAGAGTCTGTACATGTAATGGCCACAAACACTGCCCGAGTCCTGCTTCACCTTCCCGTTCTGAGCTGCACTTGCTGCCCATCCTGGGTCAAAGTGACAAAACCTCTGTTTGGGACAGGGGGTGGCACTGCCTGAGCCAGCAGTGAGTCACACCTGAGGTTTGGATTCAGCAGCAGGTCCATGGGTGTGGAGCAGAGAACAGAGCAGCACACTGCCAGTGTCCTGCTCACGTTCCCAGACTCCTCACCCGGCCCAGAGCCTGCCTGGGACACATTTATCCCTGCTCAGAGGGAGCGGCCCCATGGAGGGATCATCCTGCACGGTGGGCAGTGGAGATGTCTTTTTGGGCTACCTACAAACAGAAGGCAGACAGAGTTAAGGGAGTAAAAACTGGATATATTTATTGAAGGGCCTTCAGGTAGTTTTTGGGCAGACGAAGCTCCCCCAAGGGCTGCACCCAAAAATGGATGATGGGTCATGGGTTTTCATATTTTTATAAGTTTGGTCCATTTGCATATTGGTTCATCTTCCAATTCCAGCTGCAGGTAATGAGGTCATTTACCCCAAGTTTGCTCCCACACAATTCACTTTTGTTTCCATCTCTGGAGGCCTGAGGCAGCGAGGTGTCCTCGATTCCCAGGCCTGGAGAGGAATTGCTGCGTCTGACCAAAATGTGAAAGCAGCAGCTCACAGTCTGTGTGTTTAGAGTTACACACTACAGAGCTGCAGGATTACAAATAGATGAGAAACAGCCAAGCTAGAGTGCTGAGGGATCAGTGGCGGGTGGTGTTCACGGCCCAGCTGGTGCAGGCCTCGCGCCTGGCTGTGGGGAGGCTCCGTGCAGGGCCCGGGCCCGAGCTGGGCCAGGAGGTGCCAGCCCCGTGCTGCCCTCTCGGGCAGGCTCTCAGCCGGGGCTGTGGCTGGGTCCCCACGGGTGCCGCAGCCCTGCTGGCTGTGACCCGCAGGCTTCTCTTGCAGCCGAGGCCTGCAGCACCACGGAGGACGGGGACGAGCCCCTGCACTGCCCCACGGGCTACGAGTGCCACATCATCAACCCTGGCAACACGGCCGAGGGCATCCCCAACAGGGGCCAGTGCATCAAGCTGCGGGGAAACCCACAGCAGTGGGGACAACCTCCCTCCCTCCCTCCCTCTCCTCCTGCATGCTGGTGTTTGGTAGAACTGTTTGTTCAACTGTTTGGTGCAGGGCAGAACCAGAAAGGAAGGGACCAGGATGCTCCGTGCCAGTGTCCTCTGGTGGTGTGTCTGCATGTGCTCTTACTATACAGCACAAAAACCAGAAATATTTATATGTTACTGCATGCTTCAATGAGAAATCTGGGTTTTAAATTCCAGTTTTCTCTTCTGCGTTTGTTTTCTGCATCTAAAACTTTGTTGCCTTTATTCTGCTGACGCATGTACCCAAAAGAGAATTTCGTACATGCCAAAATATTTTCCAGGAGAGCTCATAACATGTTTAGATATTCATTGAATGGTAGGATAAGTACACTGGCACTGGGCTACAAATCATCTCAGTGTACAGATCTGAGACATGAGTTCTGCCATTTGGTCATTGTAAAAACCAGGGGAAGCATCAAACCAGGTCTCTGAGCTGCTTCCAAAGCAGATTAAGGAGTTTTTCCAGGACTTTTGGATCATATATTTTATAACCTTTTCTTAAATAACATCAGTAGTAACCAATGTAATGTAGAGCTGTGGGGATCTTAGACATGAAGGAAGGGCTTAAATAATTATATACATGGCAAACAGAATAACCTAGCTGGAACTTGAATTATGTAAAATACTAAATAGATGACCTGAAATGTTACCCAAATTTTATTTAATTTGGGAAAGCCTCTGATTCCTTGACTTACAGCTGCTGAAAAAATTATAAAATGGTAGTGGCATTATAGCCACTCTTATAGCAAGTGAGTTGTGTCCATGGAGCTCAGTAATCTCAGCAGTTTATAAAAGGTTTATAGCAATCCAAATTACTTCAGCTACAGAGGACTTTAATTTTCCTCATTGTGAGGTTATTATTTCCATATCTCTAATTTCTCTGTGCTGTACACAGAAGGTCAGAGTTTAATACAAAAAATAAAGGCTGACTGGGTATGTTCTCACCATGTACCTTCTTTTCCAGATGGACACAACCTGAGACATAAGTATTACAAGGAATATTTTGGTAAGCTGCTGGCATGAAGTGTTTGTTGTTATTATTAAGCTTTATCATTCTTGCAATGCTTACAAGGATTTTTCTCCTTATGAAATGAAGGTTTGTACATAGAAAAAAGAGATTCTTTATCCTCGGCTCCCTATGCCTTGGTCAGAAGATCTTATTTTAAGATCTACAATTTCCTGACTGTGGACTCTTGAGAACCAGAATTTTCAGCTGTGACAGAATGAGTTAAATGGTGCAGTCTTCTGCCATGGGAACCACCCAGTCCAGTAATCTTTTTTTAATTTTTTAAGCATATTTTTGGAGCTCTGCTCTTGGCTCAGGACTCCTTGCAGAGGAACACAGAGCTCTGTCAAAAGCAGGGTCCTGGACTGTGGTAAGAGATAAGGGATGGCTGGAGCCCAGTGAATCAGTCCCTCTGTGTTCCCTGAGAGGTGTCAGGTCCCTCTCACAAACCTGGGGCTCAAAGAAAGCAGGAGCATCTCCCACACCTTTCCTCACAGTTTCAAAGCTCCTGGTTTCTCCCTCTTGGATGTGGATCAGATTGGAAGTGACATTCAGGTATAACTAGACAGCATCTTTTATCAAAGATTTACAAACAGACAAATTTGGCTGTAAAACCATGAGAGGATTTCCTTTTCTCTCTTCAAGTGTGAGATATCCCAGCTCTCCCAGAGAACTGCTAAATAATGGGACCAATAAAACTGCACTGTTGAGAGAATCTCGAGAAACCATCTGCCAGAGCCTAACCCAAAACCTGACTTTGCTGATATTTGTTTTACAGGGAGCAATTCCAACAATTTGGTCGGCTATGTGAAAAACCAGCAGAAGCATTTAGGCTAATTGAAGGTGTGCCTGGGTAAGTGCCCTGTGAATAAAGGGAAAGCTGTGAGGAAATAGCTGGTGCTTAGAATGCAATTATTCACAGAAATGATTGTCTGAGGGTGATATTTCCTCTGAGCTGGAGTAAGGACAGCACCTTAAAGCCCTGTACAGGTGCATGAAACACTCTTATTCCACCAGACACACCTGATTTCCTTGCAGAACCTTTGCCTTGTAGGTATTTAGAGGATGAAGTGACTTTAAGGATGGAAAATGATTGGTGTTCCTTAAGACTTTAAACTTTGTGTTTGGGGGCTTCTTCAAACACTGGCGTAACTGGTCCTGCCAGACAAACTAAAAAGCTGTTTATTCTGTACTGACTGCAAAAAGGGTCAGTCTAGCAAATACTTCAGCACATGGGGGGTTTTGTGGGATAATTTTATGTGTGTGAACACTTGTGCTGAGCAGTGGGACCCACTCATGTGAGCAAAAGCACATTTATCTGGCCAGAGCCAAGCCAACAGCAAAAGCTCTGTCCTTTTTATCGGCTTGCATTAGGCAAGAATGAAAATATTTATTATACCAAAAGTTCTGTCCCAAGATGGTTTTCTCAACACTTTCAGCTTCACTTTAAAATGAACTTGGGTTTAGCTGGGAGTTATGAAAACAGAGCAGTTCAGTGTCTTTCTGTACCTACGTCAGGCTGGCTGTTAAGATTACTCAGATACTTAAGGAAAAGTTCTGTGCAAATATCCCAGGAAGGATAAATATTTTAATTCCTCTTACTTTTTTTTTTCCTTTTGTTGTTTGGTTTTCACCCAGCTGGACTACTCTGTCAAGGAATGCTTTACCCAACAGGTTTCTGGCCCCAGATCTCCACAAGCACATCACCATCATCCCCCTGCCCATCAAAAGAAATTCCATTATCCAAGGAACAGGATGAGTCCAGATTTTAACCCCACCAGGAAGGGGAAAAATATGATCTCCCAAAGGAAACCACACTGTTTATCAGCTGTCCTGCTATAAATGAAATGTAAACACCTCCACACTGTAAGCCACAGTGCCATGATCAGGCTGCTGCCACAGAGCCTGCCCTTCATGTGCTTGTTGTGTGACCAATTCAGATTTCAGGCCTGTGAACACAAACAGTGTTACTAAAGTGACGTCAGAATTCTACCTGAATATCATATCTAAGTTGCTTTAAAATAGGTGAGACTAAAGAGGTTCCCTGGATCAAATCCAGTGCCTGCCTGTCTTAAACAGCTCCTTTAAAGAAGCCTTTTCATCAGCTTAAAATTCAAACCTGCAAGTTTCTTCTTTTCTTATTTATATCCAGACAAAAAACCAGGCTTGACACACCCACTCTAAATGGCTAAACCTGAAGTCTTAAGAATTTGAGGAAGTTTAAGCTAGGAGCAAAAACAGGTTTATAAATGTTTTTAGGTTACTTTTCTCAGTCTGGTGAGCTGCAGATTGAGAGTTAATAATGGAACAAATTCCTTCCTACAATATCCAGGCAGACACACAAATGCATGCCGGGCTTTGTAATGTGCTGGTTTTAGCCAGCACAGTTAATACTCACAAAATCTGTGGCTTTGTACCTGCAAAACCTCAGCAAGAGGCCTGAAGTCTGCATAATTTGTTAAATGAAAAGCAAACCCAGGATAAATTTGTGTGATGAAAAAGATTGTCTGGCAGATGGGCCACGGCTCCTCAGGAGTCCTGTACCTTTGTGTTCCATAAATCCTTAATGTCTGGATATTTGTATTTGGGCCTCACAGCTTCTTTTAGCTGTTTAGCATTATACAGTGGAAAACACATTTTCTGTTATGGTTTTCCTTTCCTGTGGCAGTTCTGAAGGGACAGTTGCATTTATTGTGGCAAATCAGCCAGAATTGTTTGGCAGAAAAGCCACGTTTGCTGCGTGGTTTAGTCCATGTCCCATCTGCATGCATGAAATTAGCATTTTAATTTGCACAGTAGTAGCACTGCATATAAATACCTAGTTCACAAATGTAAGTGCCTACTTCCACTCACAAAATACAGGATTTTTTTTTTCCACTCACTAAATGGTTTAAGCCAAACCCAAGACACCTATAAAACTCTTGATACTTTGCACATGACATTTGCAGCTGGAGAGATGGAAAATGCCAAACTGCTCTTCTGTTTCCTATTCTAAACACAGTCCTCGGTGCTTTACAGAGCAAAGAAACAGCTGAAGGGCTCCACATTTTCCTAAATATCTTCATTTGTTGAACTCACTTTTTTTTCAAAGTGCAAGGTATTAAATGCAGCACCGTGTTTGGACAGAGCTATTTCTAGAATTTTATCCTACAGCTTCCTGCAATAAGATTTTAATTCCTGCTCAGACAAGAGCCACAGAACAAGAGAGTTGTGGAATGGTTTGTGTTGGAAGGGAGTTTAAAGCTCATCACCTTCCACTAGACCAGGTTATCCAGGCTCAAATTTGTATTTAATAGTTCCAATCTGTGTTTAGACCAGCACCTTGCCACGTATCCTACTGCAGCCTCACTCCTTGGTGCTTCTCAGTGAAATAGATCTTCTTCAGCATTACTTTCAGCAGAAAAAAATCAAATTCTGATTAAATGAGCAAAGCCCTCCAGTGATCTAATCCCCAAAGAGTAAATGCCAAAATGTTCAATTTTAAGCTAAAAAAATTCCTAAAACTTGTGAGGAGCTAGTTGAAAAACTAGTGTTGAGCATTCATAAATTTGAAAGATTAAAACTTCAAATCTCAACCTAATCTCTCAAAGCAGCCCAAAATATGCTTAATTTGAGTAGACACACTCACTTCAGTGTCTGTTTTCTTTGTAGCTGCAGAAGCACGTACCTGACCACCAGGGTGGGGCAGTGCAGGTATTTTCTGCTTGCAAAAGGAATTAAAACAAACCCAAGAACATTGATGAGTTAATAATTCGATGGTGAATTTCTGTTTACTGGGTGTTATCAAAGCCATCGTCCTTCTTCGTGGTGCTATAATGCTCAGGGGGGTTTTTCCAAGTTAATTCAAGTTATTAATTGTCAAACTCAGAAACAAAAGCCACAGAAGGGACTTGTCAAAGTACTGTGTTTTCAACAGTGAAATGCTGAACACTGAAATGGGAAACTCAGACACTGAAACGAAAACACAAAGCAGATGAGCTGTCCTCAGCTGCTCTTCTCTCCAAAGACAGATGCTTTACCAGCAGCACAGTAGGAAATACCTGGTGTAGGTTGTTTTGAACATTTTCATAACCACTTTGCAGTGTGTTTGGTGCTATGATCACCTTCCTGTGTGTCACTGAGTGCTGCCGATGCCCACGGCCTCCCACATCCCCGAGGATCTGTGCAGCCCCAGGCAGCCCCTCCCTGGTTTGTGCCCCCGGTGCTCAGATGTGTTCAGGTTCTGCTTTGGTGCTCAATAAAAAGTGACCAGTCTATTTTTTGACCCTGCTGAGTTTCTGTTGTGCCTTCTTGATGGACTTTTGGCTTTGGATTATGGAAAAAAAAGGATAAATCTTCTAAATTTTAGTTGCTGGGAGAACATAACACAAGTGTAGGGAGACAAAAGTCATTTTGTCCAGTGGAAGGGAGGTGACAGACCCCAAAACGCATCCAGCACCCCGTCCCCTTCCAGAGGTGTCACTGTTGTGGGTCAGACCCTCAGTTCTTGGCCCCTGCACTTGCACTGGCCGCAGAGGAGCTGCTGGACAGCCCTGGGGAGGCTGGGGGTGGTCCCCCAGGGGAAGTGACCCTGTTTGCCCAGGCACCGGGTCAGTGCTGCTGCTGCCAGCTCAGCTGCTTTGGGCTGCACCAGCAGCTGCTCAGGCAGCTTTGCAGGAGCCTCAGAGGGTGGAGAAACCAAGCATGGCAAAGGCCAGAGCTGGGCAGAGCTGGCAGAGGAGAGAGGTTGGGCCGGTTCCAATCTCCACCATCCCACCTGCTCCACCCACCCAGTCCTGCTCTACCTGCTCGTCTGGAGCGGGCAGGAGTCCTCCCAGTGCCTCCCTCCTGCCCTGGGAGCACAGCAGGGACAGGAGCTGCCTGGAGCTGAGCCACGGGGGGACAGCAGCGAGTGCTGGCACTTTGGGAAGGTTTGGGGGGGCTGAGATGGCCCCAGCCAGCACCAGGTGTCAGGGTAGCTCCTCACTGAGTCAGTGAAGTGGTCCTTGGGATCCCTTGGACCTCTCATGGTCCTTGGGATCCCTTGGACCTCCCCATTTGGATGGGGGTGTGCACATAAACTCCTGTCTCCTGCTGGCAAGTGTGACAGGAGCCAAGAATCCTGGCTTTCAAGAGAATGATTTGTTTGGTGAGCACCACAAAATCATGGTTTAATTTCAGCTCATTTCCACACCAATACAAGCAAATTGGGTTTCTGCTGCTGTAGTTTGGTAGTGATCTTTGGGGAAAAAGCACAGTGTGACCTGAGGCAGTGTCTGGAGTGACACTGAAATGCTGTCAGTGCATCCCAGAAACCAACAGCTGGATCAACAGAAGGACTAACAAAATAGATCTTCAAGAAGTCTATACCTACTACCAGAATAACCAGAATAATATAAATAATTGCTGTACTTCTGGCATGCCTGGTTCAGAGGTCTGTGAAGCTCTGTGGTGTAGGAGTGTCTTGGTCACCTTCAGGAAGTTTTCCATGGTTTGCAGAGCAGTGAAGAAGGCTCTGAGGTTTGGACAACCCATAAAAGAGTTTTTGGAGGCTGAAGGTTTCCCTTTGCTCATGACACAGCAGGGGTTGGTTTGTACAGGGGGTTATTTTCTTCTCCCACCTCACACTGGCTGCACAGGCTGGATTCCCCTCTGGAGGTGGGGTTGGATGAGCCCTGATTGTCTGCCTATGACAAAAGGACTTAAGGCATCATTTAGGATCCTTTAATGGTAAATTAAAAACAAAAAAACACCTTTTTCTGGTGAGTCTCCAGAGGTAAGTGCTATTTCTTCCCATTGTTTTCTCCTTCTTGTTACATTTCCATGCAGAAAAAACAGCAAGAACGACAAGAGAAGCTGTGCAAAACAAAAAAAAGACCTCCAGAAAGTTTCCCAGACAGAGCTGTGAATGGTGGGCTCGTTCTGCCTAGCCTGAGCCCCCCACCAGGTGACTCTCCCAGTTTAAGCAATGGAAACTATGCAAAAAGAAACCAAAAGCTCTATTTGAATTCCCTCTTCCTTCCCCATTACACACCTGGGGACAGACCTAAGGATTTTACTCACCCTTTATTGGACAAGATGGAAAAGAACCGTGGCTCTAAACTCTGTTCTTTGCTTTTAAAACCAGGAGCAGCAGAAGTTCTGCCCAGGAAAATCCCAGCACAAAAGTGAAGTGTTTGGAGTTTGGGGTAGCAGCAAACTCCATTCTACCCATGCAGAAGAAGTTTTTTTTCCCTCAAGGTGGCACAAGAGGAACAAAAGTGCAACAAGCCCCGGTTCTGGCAGGGAAGCAGGTGGAGGAGCTGTGAGTTTTGAACTCACTGCATCATATTTTTGGGCTCAGGGGGTCTCAGAGAATGGCTCCTTTGCTATGTGTGTCTTTATAACAGATATTTTCTACTTAAAAGACAAAAAATAAAAAGGTTTTCCAAATTTTCTCCTTAGAACTGGAGTTTTATTATCCAATTAAATAGGAAATACTGTTAGGGCACTGTAATTGGGCTGTGTTATGTTTTTAGAGTGTGAAAATGATAGAGTGAAGAAACACAACTTGTAATAGTGTTGTTTTCTTAGCATTATAGTCCTAATTCAGTTTATTCCCAGCATTTTCTGATCCACGGGGTAGCAAAATACATTAATTTTTCATTAGATTTCCTAACACACAGAAATCAACAGCAGCAAGAAAATGAAACTTGAGTCCATTCAGAAATTTCTCAGAGTGGCAAACAGCAGCATTTTTTTTCCTGCATTTATTCCATCTCATCAAATGTAATTTCCCATAACAGAACTGAGGGAACATAAAGGTGAGAGAGAGGGGCGTGGTCCAGATCCCAAACCACGCTGTTCCTTCCCAGCTGCCAGTTTGCTGGATAATAAACCACCCTGCACTGATTGTTGTGGTGCATTATTATACTCGTCAACATATTTTCCTCCTTTTCTGTGTCCTGTTTGTCTTGGAATTTCTGTCAGTCCCACTCAGGGCATTGTTCCCCCTCCCTAACCCAGGGTGGGGCCTCTTGGCCCTCTGGATTTTGCTCTTGGAGCTCCATGTGTCTCTACAAGCAGCAGGTCTGTGCCAAGGGGATGATGCTAAATGAGGAAAGGATCAGCCTGCTGCTCAATTAGCCACAGTGGCTAATGAGGGCCACGCTGGGGCTGCCCAGGCCATGGGCACACCGTGCACAGCACAGCCCCAGGATGCTCCTTGTGGCCAGCATCTTCATGGATGATGGGCAAGGATCTGGGATGAGAAAAGGGAAACTTCCTTCCTACCTACCTAGAAAGGGGGAAGACGTTTTCTGTCGCTTTTCTGGCAGGAACACGAGGATTTGGAGTGATCTTGAGATGGTGGTGCCCAGAAACACACTCAGGTGGGCAGGGGAAGGGATTGCCTGCCAGGCAGTGCTGCTGTGCCCTGTCAGGAGCTGGCAGAGCCAGCTGGATGTGCTCCAGCTCCTTGGAAAAGCTGCACAAGGGGGGCACCAGTTCAAGAGCATAAATGAGCTCAGAGAGGTTTCACCTCCTGATTCCCGTACGATAAAGTCCAAATCCCTCTGCATCTGCTCCAAGCCCTGGCTAAGCACCTTACCGAAACCCTGGGCAGGGCCTGGATGTGAGATTCCCGAAAAACAGAGCCCAGCAATATCCCTGGCTCCCTTCCCGTGGGAAGGAGCGCTGTTTCGGTGATGCAGGAACTTCCTCTGATGCCTGACGCACCCAGCTCGGATCCTTGCGAAAGCGTTGCTCAACCCAGGGATCCGGGAAGCCCCGGCTGTGCTTTACAAGGTCCCGGCTCCTTCGGGGCGTTTCCCAATCGCTGTTTTCCCTCAGGCTGGGACGGAGCTCCTCATTCGTGGGTGCTCTCTGTAGCTCCCAGGGGCTCCTCAGCTTTTCCTGCAGCTGCTGAGACCCGGGGGATGCAAACAGGATACACTGAGCGTTTTGGTGAGGGCTGGCCACATTTTGGGTACCACAGGATGTCACAGAGGTCTAAGGGCTTGGTCATGATCCAGAGCAAAATAAATGTGTGGTTTTCTGGATATCATCCTTGGAGGAAACTCTTCTCCTGCAGAAAACTGCACATCTATTTTTCTCTGTCTGGGAATGACTTTTATTCCCTCAGTGCAGTTTTTACTGTCAAAAGAGGATCTTAATCTCCCAGTTTACACCTCAGGGACAATTTAAGAGTAAGTGGATCCCACAGTCACGGTGCCTGGGGGAGAATGTCGGTCTCGTGGGGCAAACCAGAGCGCGATGCTCCCTGACAGGCAGCCATAAATCTTCGGGAATGATGTAACCAGTGACCTTTATCCAGCCTAGAATCACAGAACCAGAGAATATCCCGAGCTGGAAAGGACCCACAGGGATTATTCAAGTCCAGATCTGGACACCGAAGTCCAACCTTAGCTGTGTGTTGGGCTCCAGCACGAATGAAACACTGTGGATTTCATAAACGATCATTACAAATCCCCACATCACACATCCATGCCCCCTCCCTGATGTAAACACTTCTAAACGCCGGCGTTGTGCTGACCGCAGCATTTCCTAAGGAGGACTATCCCAGCCTGGAAGTTTACAAACAGGCTCTGCGGTGCGCGCAACCTGTCCTGCCCCTGCTTCTCTCGCATCCCTGGCCAAACACCTTCCCCATCTCCCCGCCGACGCTCCTCCCGCAGCAATCCTTGGGAGGGCGGAGGAAAAGGCCAGGCCGCTGTTGAGGTGCGGGACAGATGTGCCCGTGTGGCAGCCAGGTGTGTCCGTGTGGCAGGCAGGTGTGTCCGTGTGTCCGTGTCCCAGGCAGGTGTGTCCGTGTCCCAGGCAGGTGTGTCCGTGTCCCAGCCAGATGTGCCCGTGTGGCAGGCAGGTGTGTCCGTGTGGCAGCCAGAGGGGCCC